CTATAAATGTTTACGGTACAATTTTCAATTCCAATCGTTCCTCAATGCATTTTCTTCTTTGAAAGCCACAGAAAAAATCTGAATAAATCTCAAGCCCTTCTGAGCGGATATTTTATAACTGTTTAACAAGATGAGCAATATCGTATATATATGGCAATGTAATTTTCTTTACACGAGAAATGAAATAAGAAACAGCGTCTTTTACGGTGTACAGCAGTGTAGCTCTATGTGTTTGACATGTCAACCATTTTCAAATTAGGACATGTTCCATTTCCCCCTCAAAAGAATCAATTTCTTTGTATGTAAACAATATTTTCACCTCACAGATTTTTCATTTCAATTGTAGCAGTAATATTCAGTAATATATTCTTTGCTTTTGAACTTAAATAATATTTTTAACTACTTACTATATGTAAGAATATTTCCACCTCAGATTTTTTCATTTTAAAAGCAAACAAAAGTAACCTCAGTTTCAGTCAAGTATTACCAATGAAAATTCATTTAAAAAAGTCTCTGTACAAGTCCTAGGTACACATTCAACTATTTCAACAAAAACTGTGAAACAATATCTGAAATCAAAGACAGGCAACACATCAAAATTATTTTTAATCCTTTGTTGCAATTTAAATTTAAAGTTATTTTAACTTCTGCACTAATTCAAAAGTGGACATGATTACCACAGACATTTACTATTATACCTTACCACCCTCTAATCTGCTTAACTCATTCACCCCTGAAATTTCATAATGAACTGTTCAAACCTTTGAATTGGAAGAGTTCAAATTGTTTTTTCAGGGGGGAATGAGTTAAGTCTGCTGAAGGTCACTAAACAGAACAGTAAGTACTCAAGTTCCATGGCCTACATACACAACGCGACCCAATGACCAGGTATTAAGGTGTTGACTACCAGCACTGTTTTGTTCCTCCAATGAAGAAGAGTTCCAAATTATTTACCAGGGGATTTTCTTACTTGGAATGTTTGCCAATTTAATGCAGCAAAATATTAAATAAGAACAGGAATATATATGTGATTTCCTTTCCTTTCCTTCAAAGCTTTTTGTCTCTATTGTCCAATGATTAACATTTAAAACATCATGGAGTAGAATGATATATTTGTTTAAATAAAAAATGTCTGGAGGAATCTAAATTTGATATCAAGATCTGTATAACCTCAAACATATTCTAAAACAAGAGGCCCAGAGGGCCTGTATCGCTCACCTGGATATCTAAGCAATCATGGCAAAATATTCTCCAAATGAGATCCAAAGGAATATGCCAGACCCCAAGGCCAATCCTTGTAGCATCTGTATTTGATTTTTTTATGCCCAGCGATTTCATGTATGTTTATGGGGTGGGATCTCAACTGTTTCCAAGCTGTGACTCGGAAACTAGGTCCCTAGGGTTGTGGCCAGACCCCAGGATAAATTATAATATCATGACTGCATTTGTCTCGTTTTGCCCAGCATTTGTATATATAGTTTTGGTGTGGGGATCTCAACCGTTTCAAAGTTATGACACAGGGGTTATGTCTGCAAGGGTGGGGCAGACCCTTGGGTCAATTCTAATATCATGACTGCATTCGTCTGTTTATGCCCAACAATTGTATATATAGTTATATGGTGGGGATCTCAACCATTTCCAAGTAATATTTTTTTTTGGCCCCAGCTCTCAGCCCCCTGGAGGGTCAGCCCCACCATTTGTACAATTTTGAATCCCCACCACCTAGGGATGCCTCCAGTCAAATATGGTTGAAATCTATCTCTTAGTTCCAGAGAAGAAGTTGCTTAAAGCAATAACGCTAAATAACCCTTTTTGGCCCCGCCCCTCAGCCGCACCATTTGTACAATTTTCAATCCCTGCCTCCCATGAATGCTTTTGATTAAATATGATTGATATCCAGTGCATAGTTCTACAGAAGAAGTCGTTTGTAGCAATATAGCCAAAATGCCCCCTTTTGGCCCTGCCCCTCAGCCCCCTGGGGGGGTCAGCCAAACCATTTGTACAATTTTGAATCCACACCACCTAGGGATGCCTCCAGTCAAATATGGTTGAAATCTATCTCTTAGTTCCAGAGAAGAAGTTACTTAAAGCAATAACGCTAAATAACCCTTTTTGGCCCCGCCCCTCAGCCACACCATTTGTACAATTTTCATTCCCTGCCTCCCATGAATGCTTTTGATTAAATATGATTGATATCCAGTGCATAGTTCTACAGAAGAAGTCGTTTGTAGCAATATAGCCAAAATACCCCCTTTTGGCCCCACCCCTCAGCCCCCTGGGGGGGTCAGCCAAACCATTTGTACAATTTTGAATCCACACCACCTAGGGATGCTTCCATTCAAATATGGTTGATATCCGTCTCTTAGTTCCAGAGGAAATGTCGCTTAAAGCAATATAGCCAAATTGCCCCCTTTTTGCCCCTCCCCTCAACCCCCTGGGGGGTCAGCCCCACCATTTGTACAATTTTGAATCCCCACCACATAGGGATGCTTCCAGTCAAATTTAGTGAAATTCCAATAGTGGTTAAGAAGAAGTCGTTTAAAGAAATTGATGACAGACGGACGACGGACGGACGACAGACGCCACGGTATAGCATAAGCTCACCTTGGTCCTTCGGACCCGGTGAGCTAATAAATGTTATAATTTACAAAATTAAAATAACCCATTTCATATTTGAGTTTTAATCAATAATCAATCTTGAAAGTAAAGATTCATTAATTCCTTTTTTTTTATATATATAAAAGGCTAGGTCGGATTTTAATTCCAACAACCGCTGACCTCATGGCTTAAATGTTTTAAACAGCTTATGTGGTTTTAAAGTACAAAAAGGTCTTTTATCAAATATGCATGTACTTGAAATCTCCTGCAGCGTCGTGAACTTTAGTCGGATCATATGCAGTAAAATATTCAAACGAGAATGATTTAAGTAAGGTACTAGAGTACCTGAGTGGGTCTGAAGAGCCTGTAAATGCATGTTTGGTAACTTGGAGATTTTGCATGAGATTTATAATGTCAAAACCCAATGTTTCTCCTTCCCATTGTGTGAAGTACTGTACGAGCTGGTGCCCATGGCCAGACAAAATACTCCAGATTGATGGTTGTGGTAGGTTAAACTGACTCTCCTCATCAAACACCTTACAACACACACACACTCTCTAGTTATCCTTTTAACTCATTCACTCCTGAAATTTCATAATGAACTGTTCCAACCTTTGAGTTGGTAGAGTTCAATCGTTTCTTCAGGGGTGAATGAGTAAATGTAAACACCTACAACTGTATGACCAAGATAACACATTGTGTAATGAAACACCCAGGTATTTTGTCAAGAATGGGACCCTGGTCTGAAATGTGGAAAATAAATAGTTTTTTGTTTAAATTAACTAAGGTTATCTGTTATCATCACTGACATGTGGGGCCTTTTAGATTCCCCATAAGATGCAGATCTTATAATAAATGTAGATTGTAACACGCAACAATCGGAGATGAAATATATAATCATCAAACACAAAAGATTATTGGTTAAAAGGTAAAACTGTATCATTTATAATAAATAGTGAAGAAGAGTTCCATATAGATGTTTTCTGCCCTAGGGTTACCTCCCCTGTCAATTTTTTTAATAGGTTTTTGGATGCTCATTTAGATGTTTTACATTTACGATTCCTAGATGGCAACATTGATAAAGTGCAGACTTTGAAATGTAAATGTCCCCTGCAGTTTTTTCTTTTTTCTTTTATCTTCGAACAACTAAAATGATTTTAAATGGATCACAACATGTAGTTTTTGATGGCGTTGTAGACCAGCATGCATGAAAATGTGTGACACAAGCAACAGTATTGTAGATTAATGTGCCTAATGACTATTTTTCTGTTGGAGTGATACTTAGGATACACCAGCAGCGTAGTAACCAGTGTTTGCTGGTGTGCGTGCGTAGTAACCAGTGTCTGCTGGTGTGCGTAGTAACCAGTGTTTGCTGGTGTGCGTAGTAACCAGTGTCTGCTGGTGTGCGTAATAACCAGTGTCTGCTGGTGTGCGTAATAACCAGTGTCTGCTGGTCAGATACAAAGGCCGGGACGAGTGCAATACAAGACTAGTGACAACTGCATTGAGCTCATACTGGCCCTTATAGCAAACCATTATGTGGCTCCACGCTACAGCATACGGTATCCGAGTTCTAAAACGCAACCTTGTGTCTTCAGATGGTGACAAAATCTACACAGACTGGAACAACCAACCACAGGTCTTTCTAAATTTAACAGCCAATCAAACCTCTGAACAAAACAACCAATCTTGACTCTGTAATGAAACCCTAAGTCACGTCTTTCGAATGAAACAACCAATCATGACTTTTTAACGCAACAACCAGTCCTGTCTTTGGAATGAAATAACCAACAGCTGATCACAACTTCTTAACGAAACAACTTACAGACAATCAAAGCTTTTAACGAAACAAACAAGAGCTGATCATTTAAAAACAAAAGAGAAACAACCAATCACAACTCAATCACAACTTTTCTCAAAAGAACTAATCATTATAGTTACACGTATTTCAAATAGATTTACCAGAGTTTAAAAGTTCCGATTATAATCGATAATCGTTCATTGAAAGTCTTCCGATAATCGATTATGATTTCCTTTTCCGATTCCCAACACTAGAAAATAGTGCCAGCTAAGAGAAGAAAGATCCTTCATAAATAGTACCATGAGCACTTACCTCATCAGTCCTCGTGTCAGCATTAAGAACATCTCGTCTTTCAGATCTAGCTGAATAGACTTTGGAACTCTCATTTCATTTCCATGCAGAATTTAAAAACAATTTCATTGCAATAGAAAATTTCAAATACAAAACAGAAAATAATGAAACAATCAAAAGCAAACCAAAACAGGTTTTAAAAAGAACAAAAGTAGACATGCTAAAAACTTTCCTTTTCAAAAAAAAAAAAAAAAAAAAATGGAAAAAAAAANGAAGATAAAAATAGTTATTTCTATAGTTATTTCAATTTCCAAAGTTCTTTATTCAGAACAATCGTCAGACTTGGGTTGTCTAAGTGGCCGATGAAATTCCACACTCCAGGATGGACAGCTGATCCAGAAGTCACCTGAAAGATCCAAACGTTTTCTGTAAGTACCGCATCAATTGTGTATGGGATAACAAAAGAATACGGTAACATTCATAGAATTTAGACACTACAGACAATAGGTCCATGAAATATAGATGTCTTATAGACGTAGGCTACAGAAATATTCATAGACCAGACCTTGATCAAGGAATTTTGGAAACAGTTTTTTTTTCAAGTTGGTAAGCATGAACTGTGTAGAAAGGTCTTGTAGTTAATTTTGATAATTTCATTTTTTTCTGTTTGCTTATGTCTTTCTTGCATTTTATAAATGTATTTAAACCCTATTTCAAGTTCTCATCCTGGAAATCATGTAAAATACATGCCCCACACATTCTCCCCGTCTAGTTTCCCCTAAGAAGGCCCCAGTAACGCGAGTGAGGCGCATTGTTCCATACATGACAGTGTTGCTAAAGAGTTAAGGAATTTGCTGCTCTTCCTCGACAATTATATTAGTACGGAACTTCTGTAAGTGGGGGAGGGCCCATCTACCTAACACACTTGGCCTCACACAAGGACAGGAAAGTTCATATCAGTGTTCCTGTCCTCTCTATCTAACCGAATGTTTCACCTACCCAATAAAAACCTCATCGATGCAGCTAACTAAGTTTTTGTGTCAAAAATGGCCAATTTTGTAATGAACAAGCAGCATTTACTTCTGAAATGATATATATATATCTACATATAAACTCATTTCAAAATAGGATTTGCTTACCTACAAAGTGCATTCTCCAGGTTTGCTAGGAGATGGGATATCGGTAGTGTTATATACTCGGGGTGTACCACTCCCCCACAAATCCAGTGAAACCTTTGCTATTGATCCTTATTTCTTAACAGTGAAAAGTAGAAACAAAAGTTTTAGTGTAGGGCCCAAGTATTTCCAATAATCGCTTAAGATATGAGGATTTTCCGAGATAAACCAACACAAAATTCAATATTTAAGGAAACTGTATATAAAACAGCTAAAAGACATGAATGCCCCTTTGTCCCTATAAATAGCAACATTGACCTTGGCACTGACCTTTGACCTAAAATTCAAATTCCTCTGAGGTTTCTCATATTTCACCTTTTATAAACGTTGATGAAATGAAATCTCGTCATGATATTGAATCTATTGCTCACCCCTTAGTAACCCAAGTACTCTTCCTCGCCGAAATGGCAGGGGCATATAAACAGTCATAATGTTAAAAGGAAACACACATATATTTTGTTCAGCCTTATGTAACGTCCCTTGGTGATCAATGACTTATCACAAGCAGTATGCACCGCCATTAAAGTCTTATGTAATGTGTATTTAACATTTCCAATTCAATACTAATACATACTTGAGATTTCAGTTTTTGTAATAATGTATTTCACTCTATCCCCTATCAATGTTTAACTACCAATTTCCTAGTTTTCATTTCAATAGAGAATTAAATGATATTGCGTTGCAGATTTAACTAATATCTGTTCATGTGTCATGTCTGGTTGTTATGTAATGTGTATTCAAGATTTTCTAATTTATTAACGATCGTGTTACCGTCAGCACAATTACACTTTTATCATATACAGTTTTGGTTTGTCCCCTTTGTAAGACAAACTTGTGTTAAAACTATTTTTGAAATGCATTTTGAAGTACTGTAATTGTGATGATTACTATGATTCAACATTTAAATCCAATTAAAATTAAAATGAAATCAAACTTAACCATCAACTGACTTTACAAGATGTAATATCAGACCTGGTCAATTTCTTTATCTTACCAGTATTCCAATTAAAGGGTAGACCCACAAGACAATCACCATGATTGGTTTAGTTTGGTTTAGTATTGTTTAACATCCTATCAACAGCTATGGTCATTTAAGGACGGCCTCCCCTGTGTGCAAGATGCATGCGCGTGTTATGGGAGGCTGCGATATGTTTGTGTTTGTCTCCTGGTGATAGTGCGGAACTGATGCTGACTTTATAGTGCTACCTCACTGAAACATACTGCCGATGACACCCAGCAGGACACCCCTACTGGTCACATTATACTGACACCGGGCAAACCAGTCGTCCCACTCCTAAATTGCTGAGCATTTACAGAATCTGGTATGTCTCGGCCAGGGGTCAGAACCCAAGCTTTCCTCACAGGGGCGAACGCTCAACTGAAGGCCAGAAGTGAGGCAGCGTCAAGGAAGACATTAGGAAGAAGAAAGTTGTTTAGAAAGAAGAGAAAAATAAGATCCCAAATTTAGTCGCCTCTTACGATCATGCAATGGGGGCAGCAGGTATAATTCTGACGCCCTACCTGCAGGGACTAATGAAATCACTGTAGGTCTATAGGAATCATATATTTCATAGACCAAGTTGTCTATCATGTTATTTCCTATGATATTTGTTATTTAATGATAAGTATAGCAGCGAGCTAAACAATGCTCTGTTCACTCATTTTTTTCCTTTATTATTGAACATTTTTCTCTCAATTTAATTTTATCAACCATTAATGATATATAAATATAGAAATAATGTTTTCTTGGTAAAGGTGGTGTTATCAAAATTTCAGTAGGTCTATACAAACTCTGTATCTCATAGACCAATTGTGTATGGTGTGTAAATTCTAAATTCTAAAACTGTCTTACAAACATTGTTCCATCTAACCAAATCTTTCTCCCTGAATAGACAATAGCAGGACCATCAGTGAACTTATTTAAGGTCAAGGCCTGAAAGTTTTACAAGGTAGCCAAAGATAAATATTAATAGTTCTATACCAGGGGCATACAATTCTACTAGCCTGCTATGGACTCAATTTTATGCCAGTGTTTGTGAAAAGTACCTGGTCTTGGGGGTGGCCAGCACTTAGAAAATGAAACCACTCCCTGTATACCACAAACACCAGAATAAAGTGCTAGATAATGTGACTATCAAAATGTAATATTTCTATTTTTCAAACTATTTTGTAAAGGAATACATCTTATTGAATAGACTAACAGTCAATTGAAGTTTTGATTTGAAGGATCTCAGTCCCACCACACTGACCAGTCCTTGTGGATCTCAGTACCACCACACTGACCAGTCCTTGTGGATCCCTGCCCTCCTACACTAACCAGTCCTTGTGGATCTCAGTCCCTCCACACTGACCAGTCCTTGTGGATCTCTTCCCCACTACCCTGACCAGTCCTTAAGGATCTCTGTCCCACTACACTGACCAGTCCTTAAGGATCCCTGCCCCACTACACTGACCAGTCCTTGTGGATATCAGTCCAACTACGCTGACCAGTCATTGTGGATATCAGTCCAACTACACTGACCAGTCATTGTGGATCCCAGTCCTACTACACTGACCAGTCCTGGGGGATCTCAGTCCCACCACACTGACCGGTCCTTGTGGATCTCAGTCCGACTACACTGACCAGTCCTTGTGGATTTCAGTCCCACTACACTGACCAGTCCATGTGGATCTCAGTCCAACTACACTGCCCAGTCCTTGTGGATCTCAGTCCTACTACACGGACCAGTCCTTGTGGATCTCAGTCCGACTACACTGACCAGTCCTTGTGGATATCAGTCCCACTACACTGACCAGTCCATGTGGATCTCAGTCCAACTACACTGACCAGGCATTGTGGATCTCAGTCCTACTACACTTACCAGTCCTTGTGGATCTCAGTCCCTCCACACTGACCAGTCCTTGTGGATCCCTTCCCTACTACACTAACCAGTCCTTGTGGATACCTGCCCTACTACACTGACCAGTCCTTGTAGATCTCTTCCCCACTACACTGACCAGTCCTTAAGGATCCCTGCCCCACTACACTGACCAGTCATTGTGGATATCAGTCCAACTACACTGACCAGTCATTGTTGATCTCAGTCCTACTACACTGACCAGTCCTGGGGGATCTCAGTCCCACCACACTGACCGGTCCTTGTGGATCTCAGTCCGACTACACTGACCAGTCCTTGTGGATATCAGTCCCACTACACTGACCAGTCCATGTGGATCTCAGTCCAACTACACTGCCCAGTCCTTGTGGATCTCAGTCCCACCACGCTGGCCAGTCCTTGTGGATCTCAGTCCTACTATACTGACCAGTCCTTGTGGATCTCAGTCACACTACACTGACCAGTCCTTGTGGATATCAGTCCAACTACGCTGACCAGTCATTGTGGATCTCAGTCCAACAACACTGTCCAGTCTTTGTGGATCTCAGTCCCACCACACTGACCAGCCCTTGTGGATCTCAGTCCAACTACACTGATCAGTCCTTGTGGATATCAGTCCCACTACACTGACCAGTCCATGTGGATCTCAGTCCAACTACACTGATCAGTCCTTGTGGATCTCTTCCCCACTACCCTGACCAGTCCTTAAGGATCTCTGTCCCACTACACTGACCAGTCCTTAAGGATCTCTTCCCCACTACACTGACCAGTCCTTAAGGATCTCTTCCCCACTACACTGACCAGTCCTTAAGGATCCCTGCCCCACTACACTGACCAGTCATTGTGGATATCAGTCCAACTACACTGACCAGTCCTTGCGGATCTCAGTCCCACTACACTGACCAATCCTTGTGGATCTCAGTCCCACCACACTGTCCAGTCCTTGTGGATCTCAGTCCCACTACGCTGACCAGTCCTTGTGGATCTCAGTACCACCACACTGACCAGTCCTTGTGGTTCTCAGTCCCACCACACTGACCAGTCATTGTGGATCTCCGTCCTACTACACTGACCAGTCCTTGTGGGGATCTAAGTCCAACTACACTGACCAGTCCTTGAGGATCTCAGTCCCACCACACTGACCGGTCCTTGTGGATCTCAGTCCGACTACACTGACCAGTCCTTGTGGATCTCGGTTCCACTACACTGACCAGTTCTTATAGATCTCAGAGTCCTTGTGGATCTCAGTCCTACTATACTGACCAGTCCTTGTGGATCTCAGCCCCACCACACTGACCAGTCCTTGTGGTTCTCAGTCCCACCACACTGACCAGTCATTGTGGATCTCCGTCCTACTACACTGACCAGTCATTGTGGACCTCAGTCCTACTACACTGACCAGTCCTTATGGATCTCAGTTCCACTACACTGACCAGTTCTTGTGGATCTCTGTCCTACTACACTGACCGGTCATTGTGGATCTCAGTCCTACTACACTTACCAGTCCTTGTGGATCTCAGTCCCCCCACACTGACCAGTCATTGTGGATCTCAGCCCTACTACACTGACCAGTCATTGTGGACCTCAGTCCTACTACACTGACCAGTCATTGTTGATCTCAGTCCTACTACACTGACCAGTTCTTGTGGATCTCAGTCCCACTACACTGACCAGGCCTTGTGGATCTCAGTCCCACCACGCTAACCAGTCCTTGTGGATCTCGGTCCCACTACACTGACCAGTCCTTGTGGATATCAGTCCAACTACACTGACCAGTCATTGTTGATATCAGTCCAACTACACTGACCAGTCCTTGTGGATCGCAGTCCCACCACACTGACCAGTCCTTATGGATCTCAGTTCCACTACACTGACCAGTTCTTGTGGATCTCAGTCCCACTACACTGACCAGGCCTTGTGGATCCCTGCCCCACTACACTGACCAGTCTTTGTGGATCCCTGCCCCACTACACTGACCAGTCATTGTGGATATCAGTCCAACTACACTGACCAGTCCTTGTGGATTCCTGCCCCACTACACTGACCAGTCCTTGTGGATCGCAGTCCCACCACACTGACCAGTCCTTATGGATCTCAGTTCCACTACACTGACCAGTTCTTATAGATCTCAGAGTCCTTGTGGATCTCAGTCCTACTATACTGACCAGTCCTTGTGGATCTCAGCCCCACCACACTGACCAGTCCTTGTGGTTCTCAGTCCCACCACACTGACCAGTCCTTCTGGATCTCAGTCCAACTACACTGACCAGGCATTGTGGATCTCAGTCCTACTACACTGACCAGTCCTTGTGGATCCCTGCCCTACTACACTAACCAGTCCTTGTGGATCCCTGCCCTACTACACTGACCAGTCCTTGTGGATCTCTTCCCCACTACACTGACCAGTCCTTAAGGATCTCTGTCCCACTACACTGACCAGTCCTTATGGATCTCAGTTCCACTACCCTGACCAGTTCTTATAGATCTCAGTCCACTACACTGACCAGTCCTTGTGGATCCCTGCCCTACTACACTGACCAGTCCTTAAGGATCCCTGCCCCACTACACTGACCAGTCCTTATGGATCTCAGTTCCACTACACTGACCAGTTCTTATAGATCTCAGTCCAACTACATTCTGGTATTTTTGTCTCTACAGTAACCTCCCCTTATTTTGGATATAACAAAGTGGCAGTACACAGCCCTAAATAATCTATAAATGATCGTGTATGCAGACTATGCTTTAGCTAACTCTCCATTGACCCAGAATAAGGTGAAAGACTTTTTTTAGCTGTCAACTGAACTTTTTGTTTGATTCTACCAGAAGAATTCACCTGTATTGAACAGGTGCCCTTTGTTCATTGTAGCCATTTTAAATTGAGGGATTGTTGACTTTATTGGTAGTAGCAGTTATTTCCGTTACGCCCAACCACCCGCGTACAGTCTAGCCTAGACTTCTGACAGAAGTGTAAATACAGAGGAGAATTTACCCAGTCACAATATTTGATTATCTAATATATGCAGGGCTACCGTCAAGGTTTTAAATTGATACAAATAAGTACAGGAAGGTTGAGTTTGAGATTCGTCACATTCTTGCGGTTATTTCCTTGGAACCTTGGTTATAGCTGTATATTTGTATTGATGATGAAGCACACATATTAAATGAAATGACATTTTTTTTTGCTCTATGAACTTTTAATTTATTTTTGAATTCTGTATAGTGAAACCACCTTAGCCCCAACAACTTCCAGTGTCGGCACCAATACTTGTGAGACAAGTTTTGAAAATTTTGTACCAATATAAATTTTAATTAAAAGGTTTTCCCAAATATTTCTATTCTGAATATTTAATTCTGTTGTCTTCTTTTATTATTCAGTGTTTATTATTATGTCATAGTCATAGCCTAAATACAAATGTATCCATATAATTCCTTTCCTTTTTGTTAGAGGGTAATTATATAAGCCAAGTCATATTCCGTCTCTGCGTATTGCAGAGTTATCTTCTCTTGGGAGCAGGGATTGATTGTTATGTCATTGGTTTGTGTGAGAAAATTGCGTCGGTTTCTCAAAGATTGATGACGTTACTCTCACAAACAAGTGACATAACAATCAATACCTGCTCCCAAGAGAAGATAACTCTGCAATACACAAAGACGGAATATGTTGACTGATAATGACACTGTCATGAATGAATACTCCACCCCCCCCCCCGAATGAAACTGATATTTTGACCCAGCAAATGGCGTGATTAACATTATTTTGTGTATATTAATAACATATCACCACATTGAAACTGTTATGTTAGAGAATGTCCACAATGTGCCAAATTATGATTAATTAAAAGACACAGATGTGTAATGGTAAAAAAACTCCTGTTGACAGCAAAAAGCCTTTAAACTTATCTCCGGGTCAATTGTAGGCTTCCTTGGGACGGATAAAGCGCTTTCCTCGAGATAAAATCCTTCAACAGGATTTTTTTAAATCCATTATAACGAATTTGTATCACAAATATCACTTAAGAAGCTATCCTTAAAGATTTTTATTTTTTATTTTTTTTAATCTAAAACTGGTATTTATATCACAATTTCCACTTCAAAGAAGTATTATTATTGCACAATAAAGATTTATTGTCAAAACATAGTCATAAAAACAGCATTTTGCAGCAAAAACGGGTAAATCTTGACTGTAAGGTCACATCTAGATACCTGTGCTACTTGGTATATTGAAGTGTGCCACTTCCTTAATCTGTTACAGACAGAGTTGACATAATGCCTCCGGTATTCCCACTCAAATACGGTCATTTATATTTCTGATTTGACTGCATGCACTTCAGTCGCAGAAAAACTTCAATCTTGAAATAAATTGGCTTATCAGCTTTCAAACTTGAGATCTATTCCCTGCAATTCTTAACAGTTATAAATTCATTTTTAAACTTCAATCTTGAAATAAATTGGCTTATCAGCTTTCAAACTTGAGATCTATTCCCTGCAATTCTTAACAGTTATAAATTCATTTTTAAATATCAATCTTGAAATAAATTGGCTTATCAGCTTTCAAACTTGAGATCTATTCCCTGCAATTCTTAACAGTTATAAATTCATTTTTAAACTTCAATCTTGAAATAAATTGGCTTATCAGCTTTCAAACTTGAGATCTATTCCCTGCAATTCTTAACAGTTATAAATTCATTTTTAAATACTCGACCCTGAAATTTCCACTGTTTGTATTTTAATGCATCCACCCCTGAAGACACATTTGAATTCTTCCAATTCAAAGGTCGGAATAGCTCATGATAAAATTTTAATAAGGATTATCTGAAGAAAAATTTCATAATTCCGTGATTATTTCCCCTTTGGTCTTAGATGGACTGCACTCCCCATTAATACAACAATGAATTCCCTTGGCTCAGGGATGTTCCTTGCCAAACTAGAGTATGCTGGCGGTTTTCTGATATATTGTGACAGCCCTAGCACCAATATCCAGTAGTACAGGGCACTAAGAAACAATAGTATTACACTGTCACAAACAGGCCCCATGGACAACCAAACCGGGTACTGGTCAAGATAAGACACGCAAAATTGCGATTTCAATTTATGCGGAGTTTTAAAGTGGATTGATTATGATTTCGGGAAACAGAGTTATCCATACTACCTACTTGTCCAACTCGACAGTAGGGTCTGATTCACAAACACACTCATGTACAGATAACCCAGGTCTAATTAGGGGTCGGAAATAGTCACAATGTCATGATCTGTATTTACAAAGCGTTATCATAATATAAGTTTGTCCAAAACAAGGCTTATTAGGCGAGGTTATACCAACTTGAATATTCCTCTTCCAATGAGGTCTAATTTCTGTATACCAGGAACTGTTTGCCCGGTCAAACTTTCGCCATTTGTGTCAACGTGAATTCAATACTGCACAGTGTTGATTTTGCCCTCAAATTTAATTACTGTGAGTGTTATGTTTGTTTTTGGTATTGACTTATGATAAACACGCCTCATTACAGAGAGCCAAAAAAACGAAAATTAAATTGTGACAAAAAATTCCCAGCTTACAGTAACACATCAGATATCAATGGGAATGAATTATGTATTGTTCAACGGAGTATAATTGTATAGCTTTGAATGTACTAGCCTGAAGAAAAACCTCTACTAACTTAACATGTATATTCAAATACTGAATATTTACACTTGCACCAACATAAAAGCAATTACTGTATTTGCCATAATTAGCACTCCTTTCTTTTTTGGGAGGAAATACAATTATATACAACCCCCTTCCCCTTCCCACACCTGACCAGGACCAGTCCATGGTTTATAAAGGACATATACTTTAAAGCAGAGATTTATGTCTGGTGATCATGGCTAGAATTCCTTTGGTTCCTGCGGTTCACACAAACTTGTCAGCTAGGATAGTAGAATTGTTCGTCAAGAAAAGCTGAATTTATAAAGTGAGCCGTATACTTGTAACATAACTTACCTGACAGATCTATTTTAGAGGCAAAATCCGACATCTGTACCAAATATCCTCCATCATCCAAACAAACCTGAAACATACAAGTTAATTGCTAAATTAATTACTTTTTCTGAAATATATAACACCCCCTTATGGTTCTAATCTACTGCAGTAATCCAACTACTGGTGGATCCCCATAACGGGCCGACGGGTCAGGACCTCACCTATTTAATAGAAAAACATCCATTTTCACAGCTGATTGGGGCGCTTTGCCCTACATATCGACCCAAAAGGGCTTCGTCTTGGACCCCAATCAGGGATTAATCATCCCCTGGACCCCCTACTTTATGGAATCTCGATCTGTCCAACTTATGATCATGATCAGGCTACAATTTGAGACGACGTTAGACGTTTTTTCACATAAAACAATATTTCTTTGAGAACTATGTTTGAATCTTTTGGTAACAATTTTAACACAGAAGACAATTTTAATTCTTAATGATACGAAGAATGATAATCAAAACTCTATTTGTACAATATTTGGTTTGGAGTAGTTGTGCTTTACATCCTGTTTACAGTTATATGACATTTAGGGAGAAGCCAGGTTTGGTAGTGGAGGAAAACCAGAGGAGTACTCGCCCACTCGGCAAAAAAAACACCAACCTGTGGTCAGTACCTTGGGACTGCCCCACATAGGCTTCGACCCCACAACTCAGTGGTGGAGGGCTAGTGGTAGCAGAATGTCAGACGCCTTAACGGGTAGCAGAATGTCAGACGCCTTAACCCCTCGACCCCACAACTCAGTGGTGGAGGGCTAGTAGTAGCAGAATGTCAGACGCCTTAACCGGTAGCAGAATGTCGGACGCCTTAACCACTCGACCCCACAACTCAGTGGCGGAGGGCTAGTGGCAGCAGAATGTCAGACGCCTTAACCACTCGACCCCACAACTCAGTGGCGGAGGGCTAGTGGCAGCAGAATGTCAGACGCCTTAACCACTCGACCCCGCAACTCAGTGGTGGAGGGCTAGTGGTAGCAGAATGTCCGACGCCTTAACCGGTAGCAGAATGTCAGACGCATTAACCTCTCGACCCCACAACTCAGTGGTGGAGGGCTAGTGGGAGCAGAATGGCAGACGCCTTAACCGGTAGCAGAATGACAAACGCCTTAACCACTCGACCCCACAACTCAGTGGTGGAGGGCTAGTGGTAGAAGAATGTCAGACGCCTTAACCACTCGACCCCACAACTCAGTGGTTGAGGGCTAGTGGTAGCAGAATGTCAGACGCCTTAACGGGTAGCAGAATGTCAGACGCCTTAACCCCTCGACCCCACAACTCAGTGGTGGAGGGCTACTGGTAGCAGAATGTCAGACGCCTTAACCGGTAGCATAATGTCAGACGCCTTAACCACTCGACCCCACAACTCAGTTGTGGAGGGCTAGTGGTAGCAGAATGTCAGACGCCTTAACCGGTAGCATAATGTCAGACGCCTTAACCACTCGACCCCACAACTCAGTGGCGGAGGGCTAGTGGCAGCAGAATGTCAGACGCCTTAACCACTCGACCCCGCAACTCAGTGGTGGAGGGCTAGTGGTAGCAGAATGTCAGACGCCTTAACCATTCGGCCACCATGGCCCTTTGATCAAGGTATAGGCAATGTGACACGGTATAGGCAATGTGACAAGGTATAGGCAATGTGACACAGTAAAGGCAATGTGACAAGGTATAGGCAATGTGACACAGTAAAGGCAATGTGACAAGGTATAGACAATGTGACACGTTATAGGCAATGTGACAAGGTATAGGCAATGTGACACAGTAAAGGCAATGTGACAAGGTAAAGGCAATGTTACAAGGTAAAGGCAATGTTACAAGGTATCTAGCCAATGTGACAAGGTATAGGCAATGTTACAAGGTATAGGCAATGTGACAAGGTATCTAGCCAATGTTACAAGGTATAAAGTTAAGCAATGTGACAAGGTAAAGGCAATGTTACAAGGTATCTAGCCAATGTTACAAGGTATAGGCAATGTGACAAGGTATAATGTGACAAGGTAAAGGCAATGTTACAAGGTATAGGCAATGTTACAAGGTATCTAGCCAATGTGACAAGGTATAGGCAATGTGACAAGGTATCTAGCTTATGTTACAAGGTATAAGTTAAGCAATGTGACAAGGTAAAGGCAATGTTACAAGGTATCTAGCCAATGTTACAAGGTATCTAGCCAATGTGACAAGGTATAGGCAATGTGACACAGTAAAGGCAATGTGACAAGGTATCTAGCCAATGTTACAAGGTATAAAGTTAAGCAATGTTACAAGGTATAGGCAATGTTACAAGGTATCTAGCCAATGTGACAAGGTATAGGCAATGTGACAAGGTATAGGCAATGTGACATTACACGTCATGTTCTTGTTTCAGGACTTGTAGCAAGGTCAAGGGAACAGTTTGACACACTCAAGGCAGTGAATCATGCATTCCTAATTCCAGACTTGCAAGGCTTACCTACAGCATTTCATCATTCTATGGAAATTCTACTTTAAGAGCTGATTTTTATTTTTTAGATGAGTGCCACACGGAAGTCTATAGCTCCTGTGATATGTGGAAACAAACATCTGCAAATCTATATATAAAGATAGAAATCCATTTTCCCCCCCTCTAAATTAGAAAATTTGAGGCAATTGGTAAATACGGTGAACACCAATGTAAATATTTGCGGACAAGACATTCCTCCCATAAACTATAATTTTGGAGTGAGCAGGCATATTGCAAAGTGTGTAGTGCTTGAAAGCAAGAAATATATATACTTTCATTTTCATCAAGTTTCTACTGAGCTGAACATAAGAACAGTCAAGGAGATGATGTCAAAATATTTTTTCACCAACATCCCAGTATTTGTTCTTTTGGTGTGATGGGAAGAAGCCTGAATCAGCTATTGCAAATTCATTGTATGTTGTACAAAGTGTAAATCAAGGTTCCTACAGGAATTTTACTATGAAATTCAAGGCTTTTTAAGGCCTTTCCCCGATAAATTAAAATGTCCTGCCATTTGAAAATTCTGACAATTCAGAGATCTGAATGTGTAGCCTGGATACCTCTAAACCTGCCATATGAACACTGAACAGCCCTGAAATCCGATACTGGTTGGTAGTCCGAAACTCTAACGAAATATTTAGAAATTAACTCGTAACAATGATTTCATTTTCTTGTATTTTCTTGAATATTATTACGAGGATAACAGCATGGAACCAACAACATTAATAAATTTAATCATACTTAAATGATCATCAAGTCAAATCCAAGACTCATTTTGACACTTTTGTGAAATTTAGGGCTTTTAGTGACTCTTCATCAAATTTTGGCCTTTTCAAGACAGATCCTATGTTTTAAGGCCATTTCAAGGCCTGTATGAACAAAGTACATGTACAACCACTGGAGGGAAATATCTTAGAATCCTGCTTCAAATACACCCTTTTTTCATTACAAGACCCCTCAAAATTTGAACACCTGTGTTCCCATTACCCCCTGAAATTACAACTTAAAAAATGTCAAGCCTCCAAACTTTTATGATGTATATGCCTTGAAGTAATGAATACTGGTATTATCACTTATGAGGCCCCCAAATGTAACTTTAGTAGACTCTACCATGCATGGATATGGATGAGTCCATTATGGTCTACAGTGTTGAAAGGGTTAAATAGCACATATTGTCAAAAAATATTTCAGGAAAGGGCTTTAATAATGTTGTTATAACTTTGCCCATGCTTATGATGGCAATGATATATTCAAATCAATCTATATATTTATATGATTTTTTTAGCATTTTGAGTATGAATTCACAATGGACCTCATCTTTACTTAACCCTTTCACCCCTAATCCCTATGTAACTTCAGTAAACTCATCGTTGCTTTGATGAGTCCATTTTGGTTTACAGTGCTTAAAGGGCTAAGGAGTAAACTATTGGCGTTTCATGGTTTATAACTTCAGTACTACAGTGTACTATTAATCATCACGATACAGGCGAACAAAATAATTTGAAATGATACACAAGGTCTCACAATTCAATATATATACCGTTTCATGGTTTGGTTAGATCGTGTTTTAAGTTCTATGAACAGCTAGTCATTTAAGAATGTGCCAGGTTTTGGTGGTGGAGGAAAGCCCGAGTTCCTGGAGAAAAAAAATCACCGACCGGCGGCCAGTACCTGACGACTGCCCCTTGTAGGTCTCGAACCTCGATCTCGGCGACGGAGGGCTAGTGGTAGCAGAATGTCAGACGCCTTAACCATTCGGCCACAACTCATGTAATTAGGACTAGGTCAAGGTGTATGGTCAAGTTTTAAGGCAGCCACTTATAGTCTAACTTTGACAACATAAATATTTCTATACATTGATAGCGAGGTGTTGGATTTAGGTGTAGGAGTTGTGACAGTCCTTTATACTTTTATATGCAACAGTATTCAATCATTTTTACCTAAAATACCTCTTTTATATACATAGCTTTGCATGTATTCTTATAAACCAATCAATATTGCCTTTTTAATTCAACTACCCTGATATATAACCAAGCTAAAAACTTAACTAACTCTTAACAATACGGAACTGTTCTAACCGTCATATTATTTTTAATATATGCTTTTAAATGTTATAGTAATAATTATATAAAACGTTTCCACCGGTCAAAGGTGAAAGTCCTTACCTGTACAGGTGCACCCAGCTCGTTAAAATTATCCAGGTAACACACAGCGTACCTGTAGAATACATGTAAGGTTCCTGTGCTGTGTAACTTGTATAGGCTAACAGCTATATGGTTCCAAAAGCTTATGTCAATATTGTCACATACTTCAGACCCAAAATACTGCGACCAGAAACTCACTCAACACTTTTATATACATCTTATATGCGAGGCACCAAACGGGGGTAACATTTCCACCCTTCAAAGACAGTACAACTCAAAATTATCACTACACGAGGCTCCAAACAGGGGTAACATTTCCACCGTTCAAAGACAGCACAACTCAAAATTATCACTACACGAGGCTCCAAACGGGGGTAACATTTCCACCCTTCAAAGACAGCACAACTCAAAA